GTATCCACTGTTTGTAAGGCACTTTGTACAAATAGTGGATACATAAGCGACTGCACATAATTTTTACATAGAGACATTTCTCTTTAGGTACTACAGAGAAACTGCAAAATTTTGATTTTAAAACTGAAACCCTATTACTTTAAATTCATATTTGCAAATTTGCAAATTGCCCAGCGGTTTAACAACACAGTCAGTCGTCATCGGGTGCTTGTTGACGTTGGATCTATGTCAAATTTTCTCGGCCTGTTCTTATTTTACTCGTATGAATTTGCAGAGCGTGGTTTGCGACACGCGAGTGGTGACACACCCCACCTCACCTCCTAAAATCTAAGCTCGCGTTGAAATATTTCGCCTTAAGTAAACATTTAGAAACTGAAATATTTTTTTATAAAAATTTCGGTGTATTGTTTTAAGTTACAATATGATCAAACAAGAAATAATATATTTCTTTTAAGTTATACGTATCATCTAAGTACATAAAAGTATATAACCATGTTACAAAACACTTATATATTCTTTCTTTTTTATACACAGGAATATGCGTTACGCATACCCCGCGGGTCTGGGATTTGTGGGACTCTCCTCCATTTACCCATCCGGCGATACAAGCTCGCCCGATGGGTCCTTTATATGCACCCTCATCCACCGGTGCCGGCTTGTGGGATCCCGTTAAGACTCGCCATTCACCCCGGTGAGATATATCTCCTTGCACTAAACTTAACTATGTCCTAAACAAATGCTTGCAATGCAAAAGACACTCTTAATACAATGAGTTAAGAGTGTTTTATCAATTTAAACGTTTCTTTAAGGCTTACTTAAGTTTAGTGCAAGTAGGCATTAGTGATTTTCGGTACCTTATATATTTCAGTCATTTTTGTAGGTTACGATGTAGTTTCTCAAAACGCTCGTTCCATATAAATTTTATTGCACAGTATATAGGCACATAAATATCTAAGTTTAGCACGTACTTACACCAAATTTAAGTGCTTGTACAATCTGTTAAGTTAACCACTGAGTAAGTCAAATATTTACGGTGCTACATAAAATATTTCACATCGTATAGCATTAAATTATCGTGGGTAATAATGGGCCGGCAATTTAGGGACCTGTAATTATGATTCCCATTTTCGGCCTCAACCCGTAAGAATCTTATCTCGATGTATTCTGAACATACTTACATAGCTTTGTACTCGCACTTCATCAATACACTTCCGTTTCTGAAGTATACAAAAAGTAATGTTCCTTTTTTCACAAATTACATTTCTTATTATTTATTACGTATAAGGATCCTTCAAAAACTGCCGATACGGCTGTACTCTTGGTCCTTCAAGTCACCGGGCCTATGTAATAATCTTTGAAACTTTCTCGGCGTCTAAGCCTCAACATTTCAGTGTATGAACTGTAATAAAAATGTCCTTAGATACGAAAGCCTGCGGATTAGAAGAGTTTTCAAGAAGTATTACAAGATTTCTCTGCGACCGATGTACGTGTACGACATACGGCGCAGCTTGTTGCATACGAACAGAAATAAGCACTTCGACTAACCTTAGTTAGGTTTGATAGATTTATTATTTATTTATAAATCTGGATTTATCTTTATATTAAAAACTTCTTTCAAGCGATACCGAAATTGTCGGTTCCACTGTAGCCTTTTAGGAAAATGAATCTGCAGGATCTAAAAGAGCTTCGTTAGTCAATTCAATCAGTACGGTCGGAAGCGTATGTCCAATTACGTTGAGTGATGTCGTCATCAACAAAGTTTTGTTTGAATGAGCTTTAAATTTTTTTAACCATAAGTATGTTTGCAAATCCTGTTGTCTCCCGAAATATAGTAGATTACATACCTACGCACACTTTATTGCAATAAATATATTCACTTTAACAGTGATGGAAAGCATATTTAATATAGACTTGAAAGAATACAATCTCTTTCCAAGTTGCACCAAACTGACCTTGATAGGTTAGCTTGGTGCAATTGGGTAAGTATCATATTCATATGTGTTAAAAAAATGTACATACTTGTTTGCGAGAATTAGTTTATTCGCAGTCTCAACAAATGGTGCACATTCGTCTGGAAGACGCCTTTACACTGTAACCTTCAAAATACAGGTACTATCGTCCAAGATATACCGAACTTTCCAAACAGTTCCACTCCTAAGCTATTATGTAAATGAAGAAAAGTAAGGTCTAGTGCAATTTGTTAAAAAATTTGTTCAAACCAAGTACTTTTGTATTTTTCTTTAATGGTAACCGGAAGACATCGATCCTCCATCCACCTGATGGAAAGTGATTGTCGGTAGATATTTGCAATAATGAAGTAAAAAATTCTAAATTCAAAAATATCTTTATATCGGCAAATTACACTCAAAATCGTCATATTGATTAAGCTCTACTCATTCGTAAGGCAGATTCCCTTGAGAAGAACGAACAAGAAACTCTAAAAGTTGCTCTTTGTAAATTTATTTATTTAAACTTTATTGTACAAAACACTGAAGCACAAATGGCGGACTTAATGCTATAAGGCATTCTCTACCAGTCAACCATTGGGTCAAACAGAAAAAAGACACAATAGGTTGGTGCTACACTTAAACAAGAATAACAATATACTAGAAAGCTAATCGATAATTTGTATGGTATAAATAAATAACATAATATAATCATACTTATTATACATACATAATAAACCTACATATATATTTTAAATATGTATATGAGCCCAAAGCAACATTATACAGAGTCTTGATTTTGACAATTGTCAAACAGATGCTTGCGCAATATGCGCTTTAAAGATAATTTGGTCTGAGCTTATCTTATATGGAGCGGAAGCGCGTTCCAAAGACGGATAGCATGAAGGGTAAAAGAATTAGACAAAAAATAAATAAATATACATAACCATTTGTGTAATAAATAAACATTTGTACTCATTTATCTTTTGCAATTTTTTTTCCATAAATCGAAACACATGTAATACCTGTCATGTGACATAAAATCTTAAGTTTTCCATTCCTGTGATTCCCTACCCTTAAATCCTTAAAACAGCTGTGGTCCTGTGCATCAGAAATAGATGTAAACAATTTAGTACTTACTAACTAACGTGATAGTCAAATATTTCAGTCATTCCTCCTGTCTCCTCTTCGCTAGTCCCTTTGCCAATAAAAAACTTGTGTTAGATGCACACAATGACATGTTCAGCCTAGAATAAAATAAAATAAATGTAGATCATTTTTTTTCTACTAAAGATGACAAACAAATGTTCCCATTTTTCAAATTCAAATATAATTGAATTCTTTTAGAATTACAAGAGGAAAATGCCTTTTTCCTGCTCTGACATTGTCTGTAATGGCGACGTAAAAATTAATATTTAAGTTAACGCGAGCTCGGGCAATCGTCAGCCGAACATTAGGAAGCCTTTTTAATGTTCTACTCTGGATATAGTGGCTATTACCAGAGAAAGGTGTACCGGGTGCGATGAATCTCAGTTTGCTATAATGTCACCAGTAAATCAAGTTAAATGTATATGAACACAACGAGTAGTTCCGAAACATATCTTCTTCTTATCGTATTGATGCTTCTTGACTGTGCAATCCGTGACCACGTAGAGATATTCTCTCGTACATGTATTAGGACACACGAATCACACGAGCAAGTGTTGCATGGTCTGTGTTGGGGCAAGATGTGTAAATGGAATCTCAGGGATACTAGTCTAACCCGACGTGACTGCGTTGCCTCAAAACATATTTAACAAATCGATGCCTTACCTTCTCAAACTCGTATATTATTATAAAGAGTGGTTATTCGGGAGATGGCAAAACTTTCAATTTATTTTAAATTACTTATCAAGAGTGTTAATTTGGATGTATTACTTTAAAAATAGGTAAAAACCAGTATGTGAATAAGAAAAAAAAAATTGATGTGAAATCAGACTGCAAAATTTGTATATATAATCTATTTTTTGCAATTCAATAACTTTGTACGAAAGAACGAATTTAAGAAACTAAGGCGACGAAATATATATTTAGTGAACACCTTAAAAGAACATAAACCGATCGTTTCACAATTTGAACCTTGGCCAAATCAATAAAATATTTCTACTCAATCTAAACAATAAGCACAAGAATGGTAAAAGATTCAACACAAACTAAACGAAAAACTATAATTCATAAAACCTAAAACGTTCCGAAAACAATAACATTTGTAAAGGCCCGCCAAGGAACAAGGATATTGTCCCGTTTCAATATTTTATGTAGATCGGACCCACAGGCCAGCTGACGGCGACAACCCATTGAGTCTGTCGATACGAAAATCCCAGACAAAAAACGTTCAAGCCAAAACGACGCAGACAAACAAACCTACCACCTCTCTACCAACTATAAGTTTCCATTTTTATCGTGAGTTCTTTTGTTATTTCTGATTTTAACAATTTTCCGCTCCTCGCCTGCTATCCACGTCGACATCGAAAAGCTGACAGTGTCAAAAATAAAAGCCAAGCATTTTCTGATGGAAAAATACGCTGCTTTCTACTAATAAGATCAGGGAAACAAATGGCGAAGACAAATAACGCTAATTTCTCTTTTCTTGCCCCCGATATCGATTTTTATGATAATAAAGGTGCTACGAAAGTAATGTATAAGAGCGATCCCATCAATCTAACCTTGTTTCGGAAGTTCAGGCTCTCTCGCCTACTCTTTAAACGCTCGCTGGTTTTTGGAGATTTATATTTTTATTTAATTTGTAATTTCACTGATTTCACTTTTTGTATATGTGAAATAATATTTTTATATAAATACTATATGTGTTTTGTAAGAAGGCAAGACAGAAACAATAAAATAATATTTGCAGAACATTCATTGTTTTCATGCAATATTTTTCCATAGAGAGAATTCGCACAATGGACTGATATTGGTTTACCGCTTTTGCCGATAAAATGCCATCTCAAGCTATATTTCTAAAGTGTTTTAGTGTAGCTAAGTTTCCATTTCCTTTTCGGTTTCATTCGTACCCAGTCACGTATTTTCACAAATGTTGACAATGATCAAATATTTCGTAATAATATGGAGTATTTTCGTCACTTTTGGTTCGTTTTTGCAGTAATTTATTAACAATAATGTTATATTAAATTGTTGTTTAAACGTATTTTTTTAGTTACAGGTCAAAAGGAAATTGTTGCAAATGATCAGAGTGTTCTCTCTTTGTTACCTTCAACGATCGGACTACAATTTCCACTTGAAATTAAAGGAAACGAAATCGCCCCGAATGTCATCGGAGAAGGGGTACAGAAAATACCTTGTCCTATTTTCTCCCAACGCCGAATGGAAAATCCAAACATTCCCAATGAACAACCCTGGGCCACTGTCAATAAATGGAACTCCGTCGCACCTGCACCACGGAGATCCAATGCAGAAGATCCTACATCACGAAGAGCTAATGTAGAAAATCCCGAATCACGAAGATCTAATTCAAAGGATTCTGCTTCACGGAATCCCGAAGACGAAATTCATGAATCGTGGAAATTTATTGCAGATGATCCTTTACGAAGATCTAATGCAGACGATTTTCAATCACGACGTTCTCAAGCAGAAGAACCTTCATCACGAAGACTTATTGCAAATGATCCTATATCGCGAAGATTCAACGTAGAAGATTATATGTCACGAAGATCTAATACAGCAAATCCTATGTCGCGGAGATCTAATTCAGAAGATAATGCATCACGAAACCCCATTGAAGAAATTCCAGAATCTTTATTTATTGCAGATGATCCTTTGCGAAGATCTAATGCAGACGCTCTTCAATCACGACGTTCTCAAACAGAAGAACCTTCATCCCGAAGACTTATTGCAAATGATCCTATATCGCGAAGATTCAACGCAGAAGATTATATGTCACGCAGATCCAATGTAGCAAATCCTATGTCACGGAGATCTAATTCAGAAGATTATGCATCACGAAAAGCTATTGAAGAAATCCCAGAATCTATATTTATTGCAGATGATCCTATATCGCGAAAATCTAATACAGAAGGAGCTACGCGAAATTTTTATGCAGGAGTTCCTACTTCACGGAGGTACAGTGAGCAATTTCCCGCATCAAGAAGATATCCCTGGCAAACCGTAGACAGCTTAAGACAAACACCCGATGACAATGACAATCACTCAAATGTTTTATCACTGTTTAATGACCAACGAACGCAACCCTACACCAACGATGTGCAAACGCAGTTACGAAGGGAAGACGTCTATGGACCACCACCATCATTAGCGCAACCATTGTACAATGCCTGGCAAGTATTGTCAACAACAAACCCCTCACAGGGACCTAACCGTTTAGATGAGCAAACTACAAGCAATGTGTTGAATGTACCATCACCCAATGGTGATGTTCAGGTATTACCACTAATAAACTATCCTGTTGAAATCACGACTCCAAATCCGAGTAAGCCAACAAACCCTTCTGATTGCAATCCGAAAACAAAGCAAAGCGATGTTAATGAACCCCTCAGTGAAATTAGAAGAGAGGAAGGTACCTCTAGGCGTATTATGCCAGGTATCTTACCGTTAAAACAAGTCAGTACTCCGGCAAGTATAAATCTATCTAAAAATAGCCCACTTGATGTAACAACAATGTCAAGTAAACTAAACGTTAACGGAGAAAAAATTGCAGACACACGTACTGAAAATGTTGAGAATGTTGGGAGGACAAACGTACCACAAGCAACTAGTAAAGAAGAAAATGAGGATCGTATGAGCATTGCAGATATCGAACAACAATTGATGGAGCCAGCAAAAGGTGCGGGGATCATAAAGATAACAGATGCCCATCTCTCTGTAATGGATAGCTCCAGGGTGTGTTACGCTTGTAGTAGTATTACCGATCCGACTTGCTGGAGTCCAGAAAGAAAAACTACCGTGAAATATTGCGCGAGAGGACGTGATTCTTGTGTAACAAAGACATATAAAGGAAAGGGTGAGTTACATTTGTTTTTATACGTTTTATATCGAACAAATACCTTCCAATTTTATTTGTAATGTACTTCATATTCATTTATTAATGCGTCATTTATTGAATAAACGTTTTTCTTCCTTTCTGTGTGGTAAATAAACGATTTTTTTTTTGTATTTTACTTTTCTTAATGTGATTCAACAACAATAACGGTGATGTCTCTGTCGCAATTACTCGTCTATTAGAAATAAGCAAAAATATTCCCAAAAATTTTGACAACATTCCAGATATTTACAATGTGCCCATATTTGTAGATTCCTTGGTGGTAATTCGCGACTGCAGTTCAGCTTGCGATGACGCCCTTCCGGTGCTTGGCAAGAAATATGAGTCCTGCTCTATCTGCGGGAATGATCTCTGCAACAACCTATACGTCGATGCCAATGGAGCCAGCACTATTTACACTAGAAATACCATTGGTATCATGATTTTCAGTTGGCTCATTAAGCATTACTTTCCTTACCAAAACTTCTTATGAATTAAAATCCATACTTGCAACTTCTGGAATATATATTTCAGGCCAATGTCGAAAATTTTATTGTATTTGTCGATAAAATAACATTAATTAGATTTTATTGTATTTATTGTTCGTCAAGAGATTATAAGATTATTATAGTCATTTAATAATTTTATTTGAGTATTTATTGTGATGGACATATATCACAGCTTCTTACAAACGTTCTGAAGAGTCATTCAGAGAGGGTCTTTTATAGAGCCCGACCGCGCTTCTCCGTGCAAACGACAAGTGAGATAAGACTTTATTCCCATTTCAAATTCCCATTTCCTTAGCAGAACGGATTCGGCGGAAACGAACGAGACATCTTACTAAACTATGGTGTGGTAAGATTTCAATAAAATGTTACACTAAAAAAGATTTTATGGACACATACGTGGATCCATATTTACTTTTAAGTAACGATAAGGAATAGTTTTCATTTTCGCCCTTCCTTCCAATGATTATGATGTAAAGCAGTAGAAAAAGAAAGTCTTTTTTAGAAAATTTTCTTTTTTTATGGAAAGTATTGACTAATTCAGAATTGACCACAATCTACAAAAATATAAATTCGCATTATTGGTGTTATAAGGCCATATCTGTAAATGCAAACATTTCAGGAATGAGGTTTATAGATTCTACGAACATAATTGGTCATTAACAACTTAATTAAACAGGAGTGTCATGAAAATTCTCATATACAGAATTTGTTTCACTTATTTCGTATTATTTTCATGACAAGTTGTTTAAATGAAGCGATGCTACTACAGGTTTAAAAAGTGCATACAGACAAAGTAAATTAAAAAACAAACAACTTGTTAATAATACAAAGTACGATTTAAAGATAAATAAAAACAGACTACAATGCTTTAGATCCCCTTTTTTTGTTGATTCGACTTATGCCACATAACTTTAGCAAGTTGGAAGATGGTTTCTCCGTACCTCCTGTTTGGGATCCAGTATTTCCTCTGATGAAATATTCCAAACAGACATAACATAACAGACTGCAGTACTAATTAATATGTTTTAATTTATTCTAATTTCTGTTATTAATTAATAATAAATTGATGTTAGTAAAAATTCTTTCAATAAAATAATTTGTAAAACGTAATTGTAGCATGAATTGGAATGTTTTCTTTGTAAAATTAAAATTAAGGTATTTAAGTAATAACTTTTATGACTATAGTCAAAAAATAGAGTGGTTTGTTTGAAAAATCAAATATACGCGATTTAAATCCGGAGAAATAGTTTCTTTTCCTATAAATAATGTGAGATTAATAAGTTGGATACTAAATGTATAACTAAATGTATACTAAACGCAAAATAGGCGCTTTGTCGTCTAGTTGCGGATACCAGCCCGTTGCACCAAGTACCAAGTACTAAATGTGTGCGCCGTTCGTAAAGCTTGCAACGACGCGGCATAAATTTCTCCGATACTTAAAAAAAATCAATAAAACATTGTATTTAAATTAAATCAAAATTTGTATTCACCGTTTTCTACAGGTTTACTTGTACTTTTGCAGATACGTAGATGCTGTTGCCAACACAGCTTAAAGATAATTTGTAAAAATAACAAACACAAATAACGTATGTATACAGCCAACTTATCATTCATTTTCTTTTTTGAACACGCTCACATTCACGATAAAAATTCTTCATAAATAAAATCGACTGTTATAAAAAATCGAATCGGAAACGCATTAAGACATCACTAATTGATTAGAATTCGAGCTATCATAAGTTGAATAAATGGTTGGGCGGAGTATAGTGGAGTATTTTCACAAAAATAATTGAATATCAAGGTGGTCAAAATTTTGACCACAGCCCAAACAAATATTGTTACAATTAATAACTTAAAAATTACATTTTATTTTTTGCGAAAATGTTTCACTATTTTGTTGTTATTATTGATGCAAATATGTAACACAAGCGCAGAAAAAAATTCCTTTGGTCCGACTGAATTGCCTCAACGTGGCTACCGCTCTTACCACCTGAGCTACAGGTTGAGTCAGCAAACCTTGCAAATTTCTCTGCTACAGCTCTTTGTATTGGGATTAAATGGTTTTTTTACCATAGCATTTTTACCATTACCTATGAGAAACTTACGAACCCACGGTGAGCAACAGGCAGATTTTTTCCAATTTCCATTTCCAAAGGTGAAATCTAATAAACCGGATTCATTCTCTGATTTGCTACCCTTATTACATTTTCTTCAATTTTGGGACCTCTACTGTGGGTACAGTCGTTTCCAACAAAAAAAGAATCATCGGAGTAATTGCGTAACAAACACTCAAAGAAAAGAATACAGTCGAATTGAAAAACTCCTTTTTTTTGAAGTCGGCTAAAAACATAACACATAAATACTGTTGGAAAGCGTAGACATAATTAATAAAAGTCAAAATTTTGATTATTTTCAGAACACACTTTTCAAAATTACGATCTGAACACAATTCAAAAACACGGGGTATGTAATCATACTAAATATAAATATAACCAGGTAAAAAAATATTAACTGTAGCAATTATTTCACATTACTCTTAACTATGTTGGATGGCAGGAATAAACTTCTAATCCTTTTTATATAATTGGGAATGCCATCTATAAAAGTGTCGGCATTAACCTGTACTAGGATGATAAAGAGCTGAAAACTATACGTTCCTGCTCCACCTTCCCGCAATTGCTCTTGTATACGATCTCTTCCGCAATTCTCCCCTTCATCTCCCGGAATTCCGGAATTCCAGAATCACGGCAATCTTCGTACAAGTAGTAAAACTCGCCAGTTCATAGCTGTTGTAGTGTTTTATATCTCAACGTTATATTCATGGTATTAGCAATAATACTGAGAAAACAAATGCATTGATTAATGTTAGGAGCAATAGCAACCTTACCTATTTCTGCCGCCCACGACTAATGTGGGCATTAGTGCGTTCCGGTTTTGAAGGATAAGGGTGCTGGTGAAAAAACAGGCACATGAGACTTGTCAGATTTTTTATTAAATAATATTTATGTGGGTGTGTGTGTGTGTGTTGCGTGGGGAGGGGGGTCATGAATTTATACACATGTGGGAAAATATTTTCGCATGTTTCTCTTAGGTGTGTAGGTTACAGAGTTATAGCTTTGGTCTATCTATTTCAGTACTTCTAAGAGACGTTTTGTATTTTCATAGTCTAATGATTTTAACCATTTGGTACGCGTACTTTTACAATCATAATAGTTTAATGGGTATAAGTTGAATACTTAATTTATTTTGTTAAAAACCGATGTCTAGATGTCGTTTGTATTGTTTCTTATAATTTGGTTCGTAGAATCTTTAAACCTCTCTTCTGAAAACTTGTCATTTTGCAGATGTTGCCTTATTACACTAATGGTGCTCTTTGCTATGTATGTATAATAACGCACACACTCAACATAACCCCGCACTAGGGAAACCCTGTGTCGCGGGTGCCATGGACACACACATAGACAACCACAAATTACATCCAAACTCACGAGAGAAATAAGTGTAAGAATCGAACCTGGGACCTCTGCGTGGCAGAGTAACCGTTCGGCCACGGAGGCAGTTAAAATTTATTCATGGTAAGAAATAATACAGAAAGTTCATACTGTAACTTGCATACTAAATTTATTTTCGCTCGGCAGTAAAGTTGTTTTGCGTCTCGTGTCTTGAAACCCTCGCTACGCTCCGGATTCTATTCCAAACTTGCAATCTTCGCTTATTCAGGTTTCAATACAAGCACTCGCGTCGAACAACAACTTTGCAGCCTTGCATAACAAATAACTATTATTTATTTCGTACACACGGTACGTAAAATATCCATTTATCTACATATATGTTTTTATTAACATTTATCATGTAATGTACTTATAACGATATTTTTGGTTGCACCCCTTTTGCATATCCCAAATTCCTATCCTAAAGTGGCCTGGAAGACATTGCTACATAGCAAGACGGCTGCCTGTTGCATATTGACTTACTATTTTTATTCTTAAGCTATTGTTTCGTTTTGTCACTGTAATTTTAAGTGCAATAAAGAATATTTCATTCATTAATTCATTCAAATATCCAAAAAGTAATCCATAGTGCTCAAACTGCGAAGTTTCATTCGGGTCGTTTGGTACTGGATAATTTCACTATAAAAGATTGGATCGAAGCAGATTACATCAAGGAGAGTCGCTAGTCCCGTTGAGTTATGATAACAATAGATTAAGGCTCCAGGAGCAGATTGTGGAGGCAGTTTCATGGCCCTTAGAAGTATGAACCAATTTATCCTCCGTTACAGGGTACCTCGCAAATTATGGGAGGGTTGAACGAGGAGTCAACAGATTAGAACTATAGGGGCAACAAAAAATATGGACTTACGTTGTTATCAAAATGGATCTTAATGTTTAAGACTTTATTTACAAAGCTATAAAATTGCGTAAACCTTTTATATAAATTATACGGGTTATACCAAAAATTGCTTCTGAAATTTCACAGGTAGGTTTCTATTATGTTATAATTAATCGACTCTTTACACAATGTATGAGAAGAAAAAACGTTAAGTAAAAGTTGTATTTTATTTTTATTGAATATCTTGACATTCATCTATATTTATGATAATATTCCACTATACTCCGTCCAACCATTTATTTAACTTTTGACAGCTCAAGTTCTAATCAATTAGTGATGTCCGAGTAGGTTATCGATTAGATGTTTTTATAACAATCGATTTTATTTATGAAGAATATTTAATCGTGAGTGTGAGCTGGTTCAAAAAAGAAGATATTGTCTGATTGGGATCGTGAAACATCACGATTCCAATCAGACAATATCGCGTTTGACAATTTATGTTATTTGTATTATTATGTAATTAATAATTAATGTTAAATTTATTATAATTATTTATAATTTATTAGACAGGTACCAAAATTTATCAACTTGAATAATCTGCGTTACATAATCTGTTGGCTGGATAAATATCGAACCTAAAGAGCTTGTCACTTCACTAAACTTAAAAAATAAAGGGAGTCCAGGAAGTATTGTTTTTTTGTCTATGGTTGCACATATGTCAATATTTACGCAACTTCGGAGGCATGCATATGCCAAAAGTTAAAT